TATATATATATATATATATATGGTAAAACATCAGAGGTAAAACATCAGGTATATATTTATTTATTTATGTTTCTTTACCTACACTATATGTTTTCTCACAAAAAAGATCAGTTAAATCTAGTTAAGGTCTTTCTCAGCATATAATTCCCTAAATGTAATTTTAATCTCTGAAAAAAATTGCCCTTGTTTCTTTATGTGGTTATAATGATTCCTACAGCTCTCAATTCAGCAATTCAGGGTCATAAAATCTAACAGTAAAAAGCCAATGCAAAAGCAGCATTTGGAATTCGACACTAGAGGGCAGTCTCTTACCTATTGGTGCTGATGCTACAAATTGTTCTGAGGAGCCCACCACTCACACAAAATGTGCTTCGCTGACATAATGGCAAAGACTCACAGTGAAAAGCGAAAGGTAAAATTGCTTGATGATCTTGGTATAGGCCTGAGTAATACTAATATGACTAAATATTTTGAATTTTATGTGCTTTGAATTATGTATTTTTTCTGTTCTGAAAGAAATGTTTATTACACGTAAATGCAGTTTGATACCTCAAGCATCAGAGGTATCAAAAATTAGCTTTTTTGGTAAGTGAGAAATACTTGATGTACGATTTCATGTCGGATTAATTCTGTCTTGCTGACCTTCTTTGAGTATTATTTCAGCTTATGGTAACAACTGCTGATGATCCAAAATGTATAACTATTTGTCTGGGGTGTCCACAAACTGTTTCTTTTGAATTGTCAAAAATTTTAAGTGCATGTAGGTATTCTGACAAATAAAACAGTGAGAGGGACCTATAAGGGCAGAGTCTTCAACCTGAGTTTCTGTGAATTATGAAATGTATTTTCCAGAAAGTTCACATTTCTCCACAGTCGCTGCAGGTCCACAGATCTACAGCAGCCCGTTTATCTTCTGTTTGAGTTCTGTTTGTTTTAATAAACGTTTTGAACTTCCCTGCTGACTGTCTCACCTTGAATACTGGGTCAATATGTCCTGATTTCATGACAGAAACAGGACACCTGCTTTTTAGTGTGACATCATTTGACATCGTTAAGATCTCAGGAGTTTTCTTCGCCTCAATCACAACACTGTGTCTTAATAGATTTGTTTAGATTTTTACATTCTCTAAATCTCTGCATTTGCTGCTGTATTTAAACATTTGAATGACAACACAATCTGAAATGTTTTCTTTCTGATTATTTTGGCATTTAGTAAATATGAAAAATTATGGTAATAAAGCAGGAAAAGTTTAGATTTATTAAATAGTCATTAGAAAAGCATTATTTTGTCTTTTAACACAGTTCATTTAAATATCTGGTTTTAGCTGCAGATGTTGCTGTCTAAATACGAAGGGAGTGGCATGTTTTCTTCACTGCATTGATGAAAACAGGTTCGTTTATACAGACCAGCATAAATCAGGCTCTCCTATCTTCCGCCTTTTGCCTCCTAATCTCATTTAGTCATTCACTGCTGATGTTCTTTCCACTATCAGCGTTGTATAATGAAGAGTCATTTCTGCCGCTAAGTCTAATCTGGAAGCAACGCCCTCGATATAAATAGAAAAAAAAATAAATCATATAAAAAATGGTTGGGTTCCACTTTGCTAAGCTTTTTGTTTGAATGTTAAATTAGAGGTTAAAATGAATTCAATAAGGCTATTGGTTTCTGCTGCAGAGAAACTATAAAAAGACTACTGAAGGACAAAAACCACAGAATGTGCAATGTAAACATAATTTAGGAATGGTTTTGTCTCGTTTAGAATTAAGGTTTTGGTAACATAACTACATATATCTCCCATTTAAAAGATCCTCAAGTTTAACAACTTTTCTGCTTTTAATAATAATAATAATAATAATAATAATAATACATTTTATTTGAAAGCGCCTTATCAAAACACCCAAGGACACTACAGGCAGATAAAACATTAAAAACAGGAAGCTAAAAAGTACAAGCATGTACATAATCTATAAATGTTCCCTTTGGTTAAGATTGGAAAGGGCATTGCTGAAGCTTAACTCATCCATTCCTTCTTTATACATTTGTTATAAGCATCTGAATATAAATCTTTTACCCTGTGGATTAAAGACTCGCTGCAAATAAAAAAGCCTACATTTTGCTTTTGAAATGTACAGAAATTTTTTTTCTATTTTAAAATATTCAAATAATCAAGAGGTAGTTTTATTAAGTGACTCTGAGAAATCTAGAGATTTTAAAATAGCAATATCTAAAACACATAAGAAATGACAAGAAACTTAAGAAATATGTTTATAATGAAAAGTTGAACGCTGACTCCTCCAGTTCATAGCTCAGCATCGGTAGCCCTTCATATTACTCAGTACCTATGAAGTAGCTCCAAGCCTTAAAAAGGTTTGTGACCCCTGGTTTAGCATTTTCTGCATCATGGTAATGTGAAAAAGCTTCTGTTGTTGAAATTTGATTGCAAAGTTCAAGCAAAAAAATCAACAGAGACACTTGGATATGGGTTGAATAGGAAGATAACCAACCGATTTGAGGGTGACCTTCCTGGCAGCTGTATGCACACATAGCCCTGCCAGCAGCGTCAGAGACAGGAGGATTTGTGGTTCTTTTATAAATATTACCCTTGTCAAGTTTGTCTGTCTGCATGTGATAATATATGACAGTTATTATTTCAATTATTTTATTCACTTCCTTTTTTTAAAATATCACGTCTGCCATAATAAAAGCTTCTGAATAGTAGTGTTTGAACTGCACCTGCTGGGTCCATGTTTTTTCATCAATAATAAAAACAAATGAAATGTCATAATAGCAATTTTACATCTGTCGTCCCTTAGTAGGTCAAACACAACAGAAACAGTTAACACATGCATACACTAAAGAGATTAATTACACAGCAGGTAAAAGAAGAAGAGATAAAAAGTTTGGTGCTTATTTCATTTTTCCTGTTCCGTTGCACTCCTATTCTAAACTAAAACTTTCCCTGTCTGAGATTGATAAAGCTACAGCTTATCTGTGGCAATTTTCCAACATCGCTACATGCTGGGGTATATGACAGGAGGAGAGAGATGTGTAAGTCAATGACTAGATGCCATCTGCTGGGTATCCTTAGATAGAACACTTTTTAATCAGTCTGTCTGTATGATCTGAACTGACTGTAAAAAGCCATGACATGACATGTGTGGTAAATTGGCCCTGCATAAATAAACTGATTAGATTTGATCTTATCTTATCTTGTGTATACATAAAGGTGCACTGCATAACAAAGTAACTATTAAAGAGAATTGCGTATCTAGCAGTACAGCAGGCATGTAAATACATACAGTGCGTGTACATATTTGCGACAGGATATCAGTCTAGCAGTGAACAAAAGAGGTAACACCTCCCTCCTCTTTCATTTCCAACCTTTATTTGGGACCGTAGTTTATGAACAAAAACACTTGAGTTTAGGTTTCAGGGAAACAGACAATTTGACTTAAAAAATCTTAGAGATATCAACCTGTATTCTTAGATTTTTTTCAAAACTTCCTTCTGATAATATTGTTACACATTTCTCTATTTGTTGTTTCTGTTTCTTTACCTAATTAGTGAAACAGATTAGTGCTTACTAAAGCTTAATCTTTGATTCTATCACAAATCCTATCCAATCTAGCTACTAATCCTAATTGAATTGTCAATTTGTTTATTCTAAGAACTGATCCACTATATATTTCTATTATACATTCCTCTAATTCCTTTCTATATGCCGTTAGGGCTATCTGACAAAGGGAATTTATCCTTTAGATGGATTTTTGATAGCTTTTTAGTCATTTATTTAACAACACTTATATGATTGTTGATACTTTAATAATAGCAGGCTGCTACAGTTAATGATCAACCATTTATGGGTTTCCTATCGTTTGCACAGAAGGAGGAGCCTGAAACAAAGGTTAGGGACAATGAACCATGCTGTTGTTTTTCCTCTGTACTTCAGCAGAGCTCACAGCAATGAAAATAAGCCTAGTTCCAGGTTTTTCATCAATAATCGTTCAGGTAAGATTTGTTTAGTTTTTTTTTAGAAAATATGAACGCATACTACAAGGAGTTTTAAAGTTTGTCCTTATGAAGTGGTTCAGATAATAGTAATTAATTTGCTCAATTTCCAGTCAAGAGGTTCGAAATAAATTGAAACTTAAACTGATTCTACACTGCAATAGAAAAATAGAAAAGGGTTAACATTTATGCGACAGGTTTATGGCTTTTTTTAAGTGGCCTCTATATTTAATGATTTATGATATATCTAAAAATGAGGGAAACTGACAAAATCAACATGACTCTTGTGGATTATATCACAAATAGATGACGTTAGAGGGTTGAATATAAATTTGCAAGTAAATTCTGCTGTTACATCTTAGTGTATTAAAAGGAAAATGGCAATGTGGTGTTAATCATAACGTTAATAAGTTAGGGTCTTCTCACAAAAATGAGTACTGGTTTTTTCACAAAAATGAGTACTGGTATATCTGATTCATCTTGCAAAAAGAAAAAAAACAGCTGGGTTAATTGGCAGCTCATGTCCTGTTCATATAATATGATTAGTTAGAAGTCAAACCTAATGACTAGTTACTGTAGGATGGATGTTTGCATGGTAAGTGCATTGTTTTCTAGGCAAGCAAAGTTTAAAACAGCGATCCTGTACAAATCTTTAAATGTTCTCTTCTGTCAAAAAATGAAATCAGCAAAAAGGATTTAAGCAAAAATCTAGATATTTTCTTAATGTCTCAGGAGCATGATTTGACCCTGTGGCTGACACTTCAGCATAATTCATTTATCTGACCAACTAATTCAGTTGTGTCCTCGTAAACTGCTGTGTCAATGATGTAATTATAATTTCTTCTTCCCCTGCAGGGGCAGATGATTTTCATCTGATAAACACACATCCGGAACGCACAGATCTGATTTCCTCAAAATCAGCAAGTAGAAGCACCTTAGCTTTTGAAGAAGAAGCTTAACCTCAACTAAGTGAGTTTTTCATTTTGAGAAGATGTCTGATCTTGATTTAAAGAGGATCGAGATCTTCTTCAACCTCCTGAATGGTTGCAGTGTGGGTGCAGTTTGCAACAACTCTCTGCTGTCCTTTCACAACTTAAATGAAAGTAGACTGGAGAGTCCGGATGATGGGGCGCCTTGGCTGACAGTATTCATCTCTGTGGTTTACTTTATTGTGGCTACAGCTGGAGTTTTAGGCAACTTGCTGGTCATGTTTCTACTTTATTCCACTCACACAATCACCACAGGGACCATCAACTTCTTTGTTTTCAACCTCGCCTTAGCCGACCTGCTTTTTTCTCTTGCTTTACCATTTTGGGCAGTTGACATTGCACTGGACTACAGCTGGCCTTTTGGCTTGGCCACCTGCAAAGCTGTGTCCTTACTGACCGGACTGAACGTATTTGCCAGTTGTTTTTTTCTGACAGCTATGAGTCTGACTCGCTACTGCTATGTGGCCACGGCTCTCAAACCTGGATCCTCCCTGTGCAACAGATCTTGTACTTTCCCAGTGACAACAGCTATCATCTGGGTGGGAGCGCTCATTGTGGCCATGCCCCGGGCTGTGTTTGCAGATGTCAGGCGTGTGGGCAGTGGCAATGACTCTGCATGCTTGCTCCGTTTCCCTGAAGGCACTGCCTGGCTTGGAATTAACCAACTGATGAGAGTAGTTCTTGGATTTCTGCTACCCTACACCATCATCACCCTCTCCTACTTGCTCCTGGTCCGATTCCTCTGCCGGCATAAACTTAAAGGCAGCAGCAGCACTCGGCGAAAAGCTGATATCTCAAAGTCTGTGGCTGTGGTGGTTATGTCCTTTTGCGCCTGCTGGTTTCCCTACAATGTCCTCACTCTCTGGAGCATTCTGATACAGCTTGACATCATTGATATTAGCAAATCCTACTACTCAGCTCAGACATACTTCTTCCCTCTGGCCAATTGTTTGGCTTTCACCAGCAGCTGTTTCAACCCTGTCATCTACTGCCTGGTCAGGAAGGAATACCGCACAGCTTTGCGTAATGTTTTCTTCAAGCTGAGTCTGGCCATTATGTCCAAGATGCCCTATGCGCTTAACTCTGAGGAGGTTTTGGGGCAAGGTGGTCAGCTTGGAATTCCTCTTAGCAACGTCTACAGCCAGACATGCCAAACTGATTCAAAGGGCTACGCACCTCTCACAACACTTCCAGCTGGAACATCACCGCTGTAAAACCTCAACAGAGGTTCTTTATAAAATACCTGCATCAAACAGTAAGAGGAAATAGTTCTGAGTTCGTTATGGGTATGAGTAGATAGTTTATTACTCTTACTAGCAGCAGTTTCACACCACCTCAAACATCCTGCAGTTTTATGATCTCTGAAAGCTGTAGGTTACTCACCACTCATAAAGTCTAAGATAGTTTTCAGGCACAAAATTGGTTGATCCTTTAAAAAAAAAAGATGTTGCTTCTGCCTTTGATTTAGTTATTGTTCAGAGATAAATTAATACAAATTTTAATTTCTGAGACTAGTTAATAAGGCCACTGAGCAGACAAATACATACATGTTACTGATTTCGGTCACGAAACCAAAATACAGCAAAACTTTCGTGTGATATCTGTGGTATTCCCGGGTACCACAAAGCGGAAACTTAAAGTAATTATGTCCAACCATGTAAAGCCCCTGCATAGATTTTCATTATAGAATAGTTATTGTCTGTTACCTTTTCATTGTGTTAATTCTGTCCTAAGCACATTGCCGCTATTTTGCAATGAGAAAAAAGCACATAATGTGGCATTGAAGCTTAAATAGCTCTTCTTGCTTTCCAAGTAAGAAATACATTGTAAATGAATATGCTACTAAAAAAAACAAAGGAAACACATTAACAACAATATAAGTGCAAATACATCAAACCTCAGTGAAATCAAACTGTCGACTTAGGAAGCAACACTGATTGACTATCAACTTCACATGATGTTGTGCCAGAAGAATTAAAAAAAGATGGAAATTTTGGGCAATTGGCAAAACACACCCAATAAAGAAGTGGTTCTGCAGGTGGGGACCACAGACTACTTCTCTGTACCAATGCTTTCTAGCTGATATTTTGGTGACTTTTGAATGTTGGTGGTGCTTTTATACTCATGGTAGCATGAGACTGACTCTACAACCCACACAAGTAGCTCAGGTAGTGTAGCACATCCAGGGTGACACATCAAAGTGAGCTGTGGCAAGAAGGTTTGCTGTGTCTATCAGCGTAGTATCCAGAGGTTAAGCACCACCAGGAGACAGCCCAGTAAACCATCAGACATGGAGGAGGCCATAGGAGGGCAACAGCACAGCAGTAGGACCATTACCTCAGAGATTGTGCAAGGAGCAACAGGAGGAGCACTAACGGAACCCTACAAAATGAACTCCAGCAGGCAACAAATGTGCAACGGTCTGCACAAAAGGTTGAAAACCAACTCCAGGAGGATGGTGTTAGGGTCCAACGTCCACAGATGGGGGTTGTGCTCACGGCCTGACACCGTGCAGGATTCTTGGCATTTGCCAAAACCACCAGGATTGGAAAATTTGCAACTGGCGCTCTGCGCTCTTCACAGATGTAAACAGGTTCACATTGAGCACATGTGACAGACGTGACAGACTGTAGAGCAATCTGCTGCATGCAGCATTCTTCAGCATGACCGGTTTGGCAGTGCCTCAGAAATGGTGGGGCGGAATTTCTTTGGAAGACCGCACAGCCCTTTATATACTCACCAGAGGTATCGTGACTACCATTAGGTATGGAAATGAGACCTTTAGACCCCTTGTAGGATCATATGCTGGTGTGGTTGGCCCTTGGTTCCTCCTAATGCAGGATAATGGTGTACCTCTTGTAGCTGGAGTGTGGTCAGCAGTTCCTATAAGATGAAAGCATTGAAGCCATGGATTGGTCTGCCTGGTTCCCCAGACCTGTATCTGACTGAGCACATCTGGGACATCATGTCTCGATGATGTCCCAACGTCACATTTCACAACAGACTGTCCAGGAGTTGGCGGATGCTTTAGAAGATCCTTAAGGGGACCATGCTAACCAATAAAAACAATGCTTTGCTGTATTTAATGTATTAAAAACACCCATTTAACTGTTTGTGGTACTACATTAGTAAGCTAAAAACAAATATGGGGATACAGTTAGGCTGTTTGAACTTGAAATTCACAGTATTAACACAAAACCCAATACTGTATTTGTACAGAAAGCTATACAAATAAAACCACAAAAAGCCAGTAGAATTGTAATAGGTGTTGTATAACCTATGACATGCTAATGAGTGACAATGTAATACGCCACAGGAGTAAAGAAGAAAGAAGAGCAGGGTGTTAATAATTGCAGGAAAGAGGGAAAAACGTGATTGTGTGGAGTGCCTTATTTCAGTCCACACAAACACTAAGGGGGATCAAAATGTTTTGCTGTGTAATCCACAGTGAGTGGAATAGCTACTGAAAATCAACAGCAGCTACAGCTACTCAGACAGCTCAAACAGGATTTTTATAATAACTCTTGAATCCTGTGTAAATCACTAACAACAAACTGCAGTTGTTTTATAGATCCTACAAGATATTTAGCTCTCCTTTCGATTTTTTTCTAAAAATAAAAATATCTAGATATGGACATCACAAAATAGCTTAGGTAGAGGAATACAACCCCAGAATTACAGTATGTATCATACATTTTCCTCTAATGATAATTCCATTCTATATGATAAGGTTGATTCTAGACCAGCAATTAAGCTTGTGTTGTTCTGCATAAAAAGATCTAGTATTTAGCATCTAAAAAAGTTGCATTTGCTAATAAATTACCTTAAGAGATTTTGCCCATTTACTGCAGTTCTTTCTGTTCTTCTTCTTTATTCATTGCATGGAAAAGAATAAATGACATACAGCAGTTACCTTAACTTTTGTGAAAAGCATTACTATCGCCTTTAGTAGTTAACTTCTGGTTAAACCGTGGTTGTCCTATTTTTATGTGTTATGTAAAAAATTATTTGTTATTTTGTTGCATGGAAATCCAAAAATAAACCTTGTAAAACTCTTGTTATGTGTTTCTTCTTTATATTTTGAGCCATTAACTTTTAATCCTGGTAACAAAAAACTATTCAAATGTTATCCTGGAAAATAATATTACTTACATTGCAAAATGGCAGAGCTAAATAAAATATTAATAACTGAACTTTATGTTTAGTCTGGTAATAAGTCCCCTTGAGTTTCATACTGAGACTTATTTTCACACAAATATTGTAGAAAGATTCTCTAGCTATTATTTATGTTCTGTTTTACATCCCAAGACTGTGGTGATATTCCTTTCTTAGTCATTGATTTTGCAGGTCAGTATGTTGTTTTATCTCTGTGACGTGGATTTGTCTGGTTTGCGTTCTTGTTTTTGATACATTATGGAGCCCATGTTCTATAAATCATAGCACATTGTTGGAGCTGACTGCTCATCTTGGCCTTATCCCCATGGGTACAATTTCTGTTTTCTGTTTTAGGTTGTAGGTTTAGGACTAAGGTGTGAATGGAATTTAGGTTAGGGTTAGGTATGAACCTGTAATGGTTAGGGTAGGAAAAGGTAAGGCAAGGCGAATTTTTGATTTCTTTATTTTTAATTTTATTTATATTAGTTTTGTAGCAAAATTCAGTACAAGGACAATTCAAAGTGCCATATATGAATTACACAATAAAATAGAAGAAAGATTAAAGCTGAATCAAGGCAAATAAAGATTAAAAAAACGTGATAAAAGCTGGTAGTAAAGCAAATAAATCTGTTGGACCACAATGTTAAACTAATTATACCTTAGTTAAAAGTTTAACTTCAAAAGTTTAAAGGCAGTTTTAAACAAGTTAGTTTTTAACTTTGACATAGAAGAACTCAGGTTTTCAGCACGTTGGTTCCAAATCAGTGGAGCATAGGAACTAAATGCCACTTCTGCATGTTTGGCTCTAGTTTTGGGTGAACAGAGTAGGCTGGAACTAGAAGACCAGGGTGGTCTGGGAGGTTGATACACTGACAACAAATCTGATATGAACTGAGTTGCTGATCCATTCGTGATTTATAGACTAACAGAAGAGCCAGTGGAAGGACTTCAGAACTGGGCTCATGTGTTCTACTTTCATATTTCTAGTGAGAACACAGGCAGCAGCATTTTGGATCAGCTGCAGCTGTCTGATGGACTTTTTAGTTAAACCTATGAAGACACTGTTGCAGTGTTTGAATCTTGTAAAGATAACTGCATTAAGGAATTTTTCTACATCCCACTTGGACATTATTCCTTGAATCCTGGAAATTTTCTTTTTTTAAGGTTACATTTGGTCTATTTTGTCACAAAAGTTGTGGCATTTTATCTTTTACTCCAATTCAAAACATATTGAGGAAAACTCTAGTGATGGGACTATTATTATGAGTATTCACAGTAACATTGAGAGGTTTGAAAAAACAAACAAACAAGCAAAAACATCGGCGTCCAGTACTGTAAGTATGATTTGAAAAAAACTTGAAACAATCAGGAAGGATATTTATTTTTGTATATCATGGTCATAAAAAAAGCCTGTCATATAATTCAGTAATTTTTGGGATCATGTGAGTATTTCTTAATTGAAGTAAAGTAAAGTAAAATAAAGTACAACTTACAAAGTACAATTCTGGAACAGGGATTCCAGAATTTAGATTTCTGGAACAAACATCTTACAGCTTTTAGATGCATCACTTTTTCATTGCCCCTAAATCTAAAATAAATGCCTATGCATTGGTATATGTTATGCTGGTAAGATAATTCAGCCAAATGATGATTTGCTGAAGTATGATCGAATTTCTGGAGGAATGACACCATGAGGTATTCATTTTTTACCAGTAGGGGGCAGAAAAGCTTTAAAAATTCTGAGTGCTTTCAGCCATTTTCTTGGCTTTCTGTGCTTAATCACTTTCGTTATTTTCAATTATATTTTTACTTTATTTCACATCACCGTTATTTATAATCAAGTTTTATGCTGAGTTTGTTGCTGTTTGTCAAAGGTTGTGATGAAAATGTAGTGTTAATTTTATGCTGGTGCTGAAAATAATTGATTTACCAAGGTTTTTTATTATTATTATTATTTATCTTTTTTTATACAGGTGCTGTCATGGTGTTTCAGGTAAAAAAAAAAATATTATCTTTGGATAATGCAAAAGTATATAGCAGAAGGTTGTCCACATTTCAG